TAACTGATTCTTTGAATGAATCTAATGCTGTTGAATTATAGAATTCTTTTAATTTTTGTTTTGGAGGGAAAAAACACTAGAACAGCATGTTTTCCTGATGCTGTTCCAACTAGTCTATCTTCAATTTCTCGTTTTATTACATTAAAATAATTATTCTCATTTTCAATCATAATATCATCTCTTGTTGCAAAATTAAGATAATTCATGCCAAATACAGATGGCACATATGTAATTTTTGTAATCTTATATACATTTCGTATTATTTTTCTTTAAGAATTACATAAAGTTTTTAAAATACTTGTAATATCTCTAATATAGTGAAATTCAAATGGTATTTCAGCATAAGAAAAACTATCACAATTAATTCTTATGTGTACATTTTATTCTAAAGTTTCTTTAGTAATATTTCCTTTTTCATGTTCATGAAAATAAGCATAAGAGTTTTATAGCCATAAGTAATATTATAGACAATATTATCTTGTTCTATTTATCTGATTTGTTCTGATTAACGATATAACTGTGTGATTCAAAATTTTTAATATCAAGAAGCATATCTCTCATTGTTTCTTCAAACAATAATGTCCAATTAAGATATTTCTTACAACATTCATTATATTCATTTGAAATTTTTAATTTATTAAGATTTAGATTTGACTTTCTTTCTTTCCAAATAAAATAAAATAATGATGTTATCGTTGGATTTCGTAAGCTGACTCTTGGCGTATAAAGAATTCTCAAAAATATTGACTAAAAAAAAGCCATCAACTTCATCAATTAATAATATTTTAGAACGTTTTATATTTTGATAATTTTTTATTCTAATATTAGAATCTTTAGAAATTATCTGTTCAACTACTTGACAAAATATCACTATTGTCATTAATTATATCTTCACGTAGTTTTATTTAAGGTACTATAATGTATATAATTTAATAAACGTAATGAATCGAATAATGGTACAAATGCTTAATAATCTCTTTGACTTAAATATCGACTATAATATGAATAAAGTATATCGAAACCATGAAGTGCAAGTATACAAGCTGTGATTCCTAATGCAATAGACTTTCCTTCACTAGTTCCATATTTCCACTAAATGATTCTTGAATTCCTCATTCTTATCACCTATACCGAGCATACAAAATATCGTAATAACTTGAGCTACATGAGGCTAAGGATGATCACTGTCTCGATCATCTGAGTCTTCAGCTTCAAAATAATGATCTCCATTTTTAAGTTTCCATAAAACNATTTATGACTTTTAGAAAAAAAATGATTATTGAGTTTTGACTACTATAAGATAATATCAAATCAATAATCTTGTTCAACTTGACACATTTACTATGATATCAAATTTGAGAACAACTAATAATTTCTTTTTTCTTTAAAATGATTTTAGTTGAAGTAGATACTTGTATGTCTAAACAAAATGACAATTCATTTCTCTTGTTAATTTACTTGCACTAACATGTCTTCTGAAAATATCACTTGGCAATGATTATGCGGCTTTATTTGGAATTTTCTTTTGATGTTCTTGTATTTGAGAATGGGATATGTTCAGGGTGTGGGTGTGAGTCAAGCCAACGCGAACAACGACACCCACCCAACTTCCATGTTTCTGGAATTCGATTGATATGCAGTAAAATTTAGATACCGAACTTACCTGATGATGACCCTTGAGCAAGGTCGAAACCGGTCGTAAGTATCGCTTGTGTATCTAAATAAATTTCGTTCTTTGACACACCCTGTTGATTTCAGAGAATTGTTATTCTCATCTGAACTGTTGGCCACGTCGATGACTTCATGTTTGTGCAAAAGAGTCTTTTGAATTTGGCAAAAAGTAATGATATTTTCCTTCCAATTTAGTTTCAGTGGCAAATGAATATCGAAGATCTTGATTGACAATGCAAAATCATTTATGAGTAACATCCACGAATGAATCGAAACAATTTCTTCGTCATCGATTTGTCCAATAACAATTGAGAATCAAAGAACGAAACTAACTCGATTTGCTCAGTCAACAATGAGAGATTCGATGGCGAGACAAATCGTTGGTGCCACAATGATACATAGTTAGATCAACTTGGAATTCAATGCATTGACTCGGTGATATTGGCAACGAATGAATTCGACTGTTCCGTTGGTGTTTACAGCATTTTTGATCAATCTCAAGAGAGTTCCTTTCTTGTTCTATTCATTCGTCTTGTGAGACTTTTAACGGTCAAAATATTGTTTCTGCTTAACATAAATTAATCAATCTTCATACATCAACAGTTCAATCATCGTCTTCATCGATTGTATATCAAAAATATTTAAAATAGACATATGTTGATGGTACTTTTATTAATAGAGAGCATAACTCAACTGCAGTGTCTTTCTTTAATTTTCTATGAAGAAGCTAATCTACTCTGCGTTCCATTGATATTCATTTTGAATTTATCGTTTGCAATATCACAAAAAGTATCTTAATGATGTTCTACAAAAGAAATGTCCAACTTATATTCAATGAAAATGAGAAAATTGACGATTATCATCGATGGGCTAAAATTCGACCAACTAATTCGTATTCAATTACCGAAACTTACAAATTCTGATTTTCCAGCGAGTTTTATCTTGCAAGTGATGGTAATACAGAAAAGCAGGTAAATGCATTTCTGAACACATTTCAAACTCGATTTTGGTTGATCAAACATCAATGATTCGTACAATGTCATTGAAAAGCAAATGAGACTCATGCAAAGAATATACTTTTGAATAATTTGATTTTGATTCTTCCGGTCGGTCGAAGTCAATAGATCCTCACGATAATAATCATTGGTCATTTGATCGATTCCCTGTCGTTGACAATGTATTACAGATATTTAATGACTGGATTCATCTCGTATTGATTTCAAGAAATTGAATGATTACAGTCTTATCTGTCATCATCGTGCACGATCACAAGAGACAATCTTCTGTTGTACAATTCCTATTATCGGGGCCAGAATTAAATATGGGGTGATGTAAGTTCAATATCTTGAGAACGGCAATAGCTAGCGATATGCAGTTGTCACCAATCGAAAAATGAGGGTGTATAGGTGTGAGTGTAGGTGTGGGTACCTGGAAAGGAAAATCTACATCCACACATATACCCACCCACATCCAGATCCACAGCCACACTCTTTATGAATATTAAACATGTGTGCTACCTAAATTGGCTTTTCTCATATTTAGTTATTCTTGTTTAATATTAAAATGTTTAACAAATGAATCGATGATTACATCTCAGAAAAAGATAAAAAGAAGGTTTCAAGTATACAACTGAGTAAAAATTGAACAAATAAAAAGAATGAATATGATTGAAATAAAACTTGAAATCGATTCAATATTCGATATGTTCTGTTTGATAGGTTCATGTATCAACAAAAAAGAAACAACGAATAGAGCATCAAAAAGTGATTCAAGGAATAAAATGACAAACAAAACAAGGCAAAAGGTATAGAAAGGAAAGAGAGTTAGAGAAGAGCAATAATACGTAAACAATGTAAACCAGTGAAAATACAGTGACACAGAAGATCAAATAGTTTTAGATAATATGAGCTTTTAAGAATTTCAAGGAATCAATTATCTTCAAAAACCTTTTTTTTTCTTTTATTTACTTTGATATACTAAATTATTTGATAAAGATGAATTTTACTTTTTACTCATTCGAAATAAAGCACCTGTAGCTTTTGCTATAGGTGAATTATATAAATTTCTAGATAATGAGTTATTATCCGTTGTGATAATAGATTCTGCAGAAGCACTAGTATAGCTTTTTGGGAATTTTTTTCTATATGCTGTAACAAGATCCTTTCCTTTATGTTGTCCTCCGATATTGTTTAAAATTTCTTCAGTTACTAAATCTGTTAACATATCTGATCCTAAACTAGAATTTATATCTAACATTTCACATCGTCCGTGCGTTCGATTAGCAATCAGTTGAAACTTTTCTTCTGCACGCATTTCTACATAAAAAGCATGTACTGGAATACTATTTTCTACTAATTTTTCTAATTCTTTTTCATAATAAGTTGCTTCAGAAAATTTCGTTTTTTTCCAATATTTCTGTCCAAAAACATTTCTCTTCATCTGAACATCTTCTTGAGTATTTGGAGGTGCGTCACCAATTAAAATAACTTGAGTTATATGTTCTCTTTCATGTTCTTTATTAGCATGCCATAAACCAATTTCAATAGCTTCATTATTCCAACCTCCTTCAACATCAATTGTATTCATAAAAGCACGTAAATTGTGTGGTTTTGTTTCCCAAGGAGAACTTTGAAGAAGTTTATTTTGAAAACTATTATAATTTCTATAGACAACAAATTGAATTTGAAATGAATCAGGATTCATACTATGATCTTTTAAAATTTCTGATGCACGTTCAAACATAATATCTACTGTATTTTTACATTTATGTAATAAATGAAACATAGAACCTGTTGCATCCATAAGACAAACAGTTCGTGATTGTGATGTACTTGCTGCTCCTCTATTTTCTTCAATTAAAAATTTTCTAACCGAATCAATATCTCCAGAATGAAGATGAAATAAAAACTCTTGTGAAATTAAATGTTTTTCTTTTGCTTGTTCAACATATTTTATATTCGCTTCATATTGAGTTTTAAATAATTCAGTACGTTTATCATGAAGAAAAGGATAGAGTGTATCATAGGTTTTTGTAAGTTTAAGAGTATCGGTGACAGTATCAGCAATACGAGCTATAAATCCTTTTCCTTTTAAAATATCGTCAATATGTGATTTTTCTATATGAAATTTTTCTAAATCACGATCAAGTAAAATCATACTATAAGATCCTTGATCACCTTGTCTAGCAGTTCTACCTTTAATTTGTTTTTCTTCAGAAAATTCTTCTGAAAGAAATGTTTGAATAACATGTGTACCACCATTGGTGGCAACAATTTGATCATGACATATAAAATCAGTTCCTCGACCAAACGTTCTCGTAAATAAAGTAATTTGACCTGATACAGTCGCACGATTAATGATGTTTTCTTTTTCTTGTAATAATGTATCTTCTGTTAGATAGACAACGGATTCTTTAATTGATTCTAGAGCTGGTGATTCATAAAATTGCATTAATTTTGCTTTTGATTCAAAAACTACTAAAATAGCACGTTTTTCGGAATTTCTTCCTATTATTCTATCATCAATTTCTCTTTTTATTCTATTAAAATAATCATTAATATTCTCAATTATAATGTCATCTTTTTCTATAAATCGAAGGTTATTTTGTCCAAAAACAGATGGAACATACGTATTTTTGATGATTTTATAATCATTTTTTATCACTTTTCTCTCAGGATCACTTAGAGTTTCTAATGTACCTGTAACACCCATAATATATTTAAATTGAAGTGGTACTTCAGCATACGAAAAACTACCACAATTAATTCTTATACTTATATTTTCATCTAAACTTTCTTTACTGATATTACCTTTCTCATGTTCACAATGATATGCAAATAAAGTTTTATATCCAAAAACAACATTATATACAATATTATCTTGTTCTATATATCCAATTTTATCATTTTTAACAACATAATCATGAGATTCAAAACTATGAACATCGGCAAGCATATCTTTGATAGCTTCATCGATCAATAATATCCAATACGGAAATTTTTGATTACAAGCCTGATATTCAGGTGTAATTTGAATTTTTTTCAAGTTTAAATTTGATTTTCTATGAGTCCAAATAAAATTAACTAAAGATGTAATAGTAGGATCTTTCAAACTAGCTGATGGTGTATATAAATTACCATAGAATTCTCGACTAAAGAAAACATCAACTTCATCAATAAGTAATATTTTAGGTCGTTTATTTTTTCGACTAATTTTTTTATCATCATTGGTAGTATTAGAAATTAACTTTTCTACTATGTGACGAATATCACCATTTTCATTAATCATATCTTCACAGAGTTTATTGAAAGTACCATAATGTATATAATGAAGTACTTCTAGTGAATCAAATAAAGGCAAAAATGCTAAGTAATCTCTTTGACTTAAATATTTACTAAAACATGCACAATGTACATCAAAACCTATTAGTGCAAGTATAACAGCTGTGGCTCCTAATGTTATAGATTTTCCTTCACCAGTTCCTATTTGTACTAAATTATTCATCAATTCTTCATTATCATCACCAATGCCTAGTAGACGAAATATAGATATTATTTGAGCTGCATGTGGTTGAATAAGATAATTATTTCTATCATCTAAACCTTCAGCTTCAAAATAATGTTCGGCTTTTGAAAGTGTCCAAAGAGCAAAAATATGTGCAGCTAGTTTTGGAATTTGACCTCTTACATGTGCATTCCATGTAATGGTCTCTGAGTTTTCTCTCATATTTCCTGTGATTAATTTAGTATCGGAAATTAATTTATCAAGTTTCATATCTGGACTAAGATTTTCTTTGACAACTTTCTCATAGATATTATGAAATTCATCATATCGTCTACGTAATTTTACTTTGTCAACATGATCACCTTTTAAGTTATCTAGTACATATTCAATACCGTGTCTTCGAGTTTTTTCATTAAATAAAGATAATGAAAAACCCTGAAATAATCTATGTTCTGAAATAATACTTTGACCAAGACCATCTTTATCTTGATTTAAAACTGTACCTAATTTAGCTAAAGCTTTAGCATCTTGTTTACTTTTATAATTCTTAAGCACTTCATCTATTCTTTCATTTACTTTAATTCTAAATGAGGAAATATTATTTGCAATACGTTTAATATTTTTCAAATTTGTAACAACATTCTGAAGTCTTGGATCACTTTCAATCAAAGCTTCCCATGTATGAATTTTATCAAAAACAATTCCTTCAATTTTTTCAATGCTTAACTGAATGTCTAAATGTATAACTTTGATTTCTTGTCGAATGGATATTAAGTTACAATAGTATAAATTAATATTATCGTATTCTACTCTTGTTAATATATTATCTTGTGAAATTTTACTTAAAATTTTTTCAGAATTAGAACATAGTGTTCTAATTTTAGATTCTAATGATTCTAGACAATCTTTTTCAATCCTATCTATATCAATTTGTATATTAAATTGACTAAAAGCTTTAGTTCGACTCAAAATGATCAATTTTTCATTTAGTTTTCGATAAAATTCGTCACGTATTGTACTAAATTCTCTTGTATCATGATTAAGAAGTTCTTGATTTAAAAGTTCATTTTTTAAATCTTCAATTCTTCGAGATATTGATTGTAATATTTGAGAATGATGAGTAAGCTGTTGTAAGCTTGTCATCATAATTTCCATAGATGTATCTCTATTATTATACATGTCATAATAAACTTTTATTTTTGTTAATAAAGAACTCCAAATAAGCATTATTTTCAAAATATTTAAAAGAGAATCAGTGTCGATTTTTTCTAAGGCATGTTTATATTTTGTTTCATGTTCATTTGAATAATCTTGAATTTTTGTTATCAATGTGTTAATTTTATCACTAAAATCATCCGGAAGGATATAAATTAAAATTTGTTGATTTTTATGATCATCTTGAAATTTAATAAATTCTGTCAAACAAATAAAACTTTTCTCGATTGCTAAAACACCTTCATTTTCACTCATAGACATATGAGAATTTAAAAATCGATTTGTAAAAAATAGATATGCATCTTCAAATATTTTTATTATACGTAATCGTACTTCTGAATATGGTCGATTAATATCGATCATAACTTCTTCTAATTCTATTTTATAAATATATAATTTTTTAACATGTGTAAATGCCTCTCGAATTTCATAGTGTTCAAAATTTTCATTTATTTTCAAAACAATTTCTTGTATTTGTTTTAAAACAAGTGCTTTAACTCTATTAGCAAAAGATTGTAATTCTTGTGATTTTTCATATTCTAAAAGAATACTTTTAATATTTCGTACATCACCACTACTAAATGCATTATTTAATTTATTTTCATTATCTTGAATAAGTTGAACAATATCTTCTTTACAATGTCTTAATTCAACTTCAAGTGCATTTCTCATTGCATCTGGTAAATATTTAACTGCAGATTCAAATTTTCTAATATGTATATTTTCTGAATCTGGTGGTTGTTTTGATTTAGCTTTATCTAATTCTTCTCGAAATTTAACAAGTATTTTTTCTTTTATTTGATTTAATGCCTGATTATATACTGGATTAGTTTGATTAACTTGTCCAAATCTTTCAAAAATATCTGTTGGTGGATTTAATGTATAACCACTAATATCCATTTCAGAGTATTTATCAACAACATTTGTTAATACAACTGTATTTTGATATTCATTTAAATTTTCAATCTGATCAGAAATTTCTTTTGTACAATATTTTCCTAATAAATTACGTACTAATGTAATTGATTCAATTTTTCTATCTGCTTCATAAAAATTATGATTATCTATGAGAGCTTTAACTCCCGCTAGATAACGTTTTATTCGTTCTTCAATTATTGCTTTAACATTTCTTACACAGTCATCTATTTTATTTGGTGCATCTAAATGTTTTTCTATAAATTGTTTTGCTCTTTCCATTCGTTTTAAATTCTCTACAATTAATCTTATATCTTCTATTGCTATATTATTTCCAAGCATAATTACTTGATCCTCAGTTCCTTCCATTAGTTGATTTAAACCGGCATTTAATGGTCGTTTAGCTTCTGCATAAAAATGTTTTCCTACTTCATTTGATGATTGTAAAGTCATCATTCTAACTGCAACACTTTCATAATCAAAATTTTTAATAGCATCTATAATTTGTTGACCAATATCATTACTTTGTGTAAAAAATATATTTTGATATTTATTATAAATATCAATATATTTTTCACCTTCTAAAAACTTATCTAATTTACTAAATGCTTTTGCTGTCAATAGTCTAATATTGAGAGCTTCAGCTCGTTGCGTAACGCTTAATCTTGCCATTTCACCTGATAATTCAAAACAATAACTTGATAATTCAGTTTGCCAATCTTTAACTATAGTTTTCTTAGAAAAATGAGAGAAAACACGAGGACATGCTTTTTCTATATCAGATATTTCTTGTAGACGAGAGGATAGTATGCGAACTTTATCTAAAATATCGTTGGTATTTGTGTTTTGAGATTTTTTAATTGTTTCAAAACAAGTTTCCATTTCTTTTTGAACTAAATCACTAAAATCTCTTATAAAACCTTCTAAATTATTAAGTACAGATATACAATCTCTTTTAATTAGAACAGGTCCATCTTTACAACTATCTAAGTAATAAAATGCTTTTTCAGCTTTAATAAAATCTAATGTTTTATATTCTTGTTCTTTCCATTTCTCTAAACTAAATGTATTTTTAATAATATCAAAAACATTGTTTGTTGTTGTTTGAAACCAAGAATTAGCTTCTTCTATATGCTCATTTACAGTTGAAATAAAATTTTCTAAATATTTCATTTCATTGATGTCATATAATATCTTAGAAACATGTTTAATATTATGAGAATGATCAAGATCTAAATTGATTTTAATGATAGACTTTTTTAATTTTTCTACATGTTGAATAATTTGTTGTTCAACATTATTTATTACATCTGAATAAAGTCCAGGTCGATATTTCTCTATCCAAGTAGCATTTTTTAAATTTGATAGACATTTTATAAGTTTCTCATAATCAACTGTTTCTCCACCTTGAAATAAAAGTCTTAAAAGTTCTTCAGCATCTCGTCTTGATTGATATATATATCCAAATAATTCTTCTAAAGTAGCATAATAGACTTGACTTGTTTCAAGTGCAATACTAGAAATCGTTCTAATCAAATCTAATTGTTGGATGAGATTTTCTAAATTCTGAAATGCATTTTGCTTCTTAAATTCTGTCTTGATTTCTTGAATAATATTTTCAAAATATTTTAAAATTTTTGATGAAAAATTTTGATAAATTTGATTTATATATTGGTTTGAAATGTGTACTTCAAGATTCAATGTTTTTAAAGCTGTTTCTAGCATACTTAAACAATTATTTATTTTATCTATGTCAGTTTTTTCAAGTTTCGTTTGTTTAAAAATATGATCTAATTCTTTGGCAGAATTATTTAAATAATTTATAAAATATTCTTTCAATCTTAAATATTTAGTTTCGATATTTTGATGATCTAAATGATCATGTAAAATATTTAATGTATCAGATAAGCTTTTCATGATAGCAGCACTCTCTGTAAATTGATTATTTAAGACAGAATTTTCGAAAGAATTAACTTTGAATTCGATTTTTTCAGCAAACGACTGACAAATCCTTTCATATGTATTACTAATATCAGGAAAATATTTTTTAAGAAGTTTTATTTTATCTAAACTTACTTTTACTGATGAATCATCAATCTCTTTTTCTCTTAGATCTACATCTATCTGGTCTAGTTGTTGATTTAAATATTGAATAAACGCGCTACTATGAACGCCTTCATTGTTTAAATGTTCATTCCTTAGTTTTTCTGCAAAATTCGCATGATCGAAGTATACTTGATATTGTTTAATATCATCATCAGTCAAAACTGTTTGATGCATTAGGCATCGATTTAATATTGAAGTACCCTCTTGATATTCTTCTAAAAGATGTCTACTTAGATGTTGAATACAATCAGTGTAGATCTGTTCAATGTATTCTTGATTAAGTAGATCCTTTAAACGTTTCAATTGATCAAGTTGATATTTTATCAATGAATATTCGGAACGTTTAACTGCTGATATAATGCTTAATTGATAGTTTCTTACTTGTTCATGTACAATAGCCTTAGACTTATCTGTAATCGAGAATTGAAAAACTTCTTCTGGATACTGAATAACAGCTGAATTGACGAGTTCATCAAGGAGATCTCCGGGTTCATCTTGTATTGGATCTAACACTAGAGTATGTCTTTTTGTTTTCTGTAGCATATCCCGAAATAAATTCATAAAACTAGTGTCGAATTTTTCTTGATCAGTCATCGTTTTTTTGATGTTTTCTAATGATGCATGTATTGTATGTCTTTCGTTTTCGGGATACTTTGTAAATATATAAGAAAAAGCCGTAATTTGATCGTTAATACTTGGTATTAAACCCGCTAATAGATGTGTGAGATTTTTTAAACCTTCAAATCTATCACCTATACTTTTATAACTAATTAAGACAACTGGTTTTACACTTCTACATCGTCTTATTGCTTTAACAATACTTATTCCATTTGCAATATCTACTTCAGGTCCATTGGTATCTTCAAATCCTGGAGTATCACACAAAATAATACTACCATTATGATATGCGCCAACATCATCAAAGTTTATAGTTACAGGTCTGATGCAACGAGTTTCAGATTTAGCAAAAGGTGAAGTGGTTACATTTCTTAGATCTGGATTTTTTATATCTGTAGCAGCAATATGATTTAGTCCTCCTATTGTTGTTGCAATCATTTTCGATCCAGCAAGAAAATGAATTGTTGTTGATTTACCTGATCCAGTACCACCAAGAAGAAAAATAATATCTTTATTTTTTATTAATTCTGCTGCATCATCAACTTTTTCTATTAATCGAAATAAATCATGAATATTTAATGGACTAATTTCTTGGAAAATTTTTCTTAATAAACTTATACAATTCTTCCAATGCTTATTTTTTATATATATCGAAAGTTCTTTGATTGAATTTCGAATCTCTGAAGATGATGATTCTTCTAATTTTAATCGATCTTGCAAAATTTCAAGTTCTCTATCTATTTCTATTTCTATGTTATCAGGTAGTACGATACTTGGATCTAGAGTGATTTTGTTGTTGATTAAGTGAAGAGAAATATAATATAATAAACAGATAACGGATCGCTCAGAACATGGTGGTAGTGAGCAAAAATCTTGGTACATATTACATAGACTTTCATTTGTAATTGAAAACTCCTCCTGATCGAAACTATTCATTACATTTTCATTTGAATCAATATCATGTACAAATTTCTGTGACATTTCAGATTCAATCTGTGTAAGGGATGATTTCATAGAATTAATTTTATCGATTAGCAATTGAATATTCTCTAATTCTGATAGAGAATTTTTACGCAAATGCGCAATATCATACTTTCTTTCATTTTCTAATGCTTCTATTCTTTTTTTCTTTTTGATGATTAACTCTTTTAAATGTTCTTCATTATCAATATCACGTTCAACGAAAGCAGTATCTAACTGTTTTTTTAATGTTTGAAAATCATCGTTTAGTTCAAAAGTTTCGAGCTCTTTAATTCTATTCATTAATGATTGAACTTCCTCTAATTTTGTTAATGATTTTTCTCGTTTTCGTGCATTGTCATGCTTTCCTTGCTTTGTTAAATCTTCTATTCGTTTTTTCTTTTCCTCGATTCGAGTTTTTAATTCGTCGTCATTACTGATATCAAATTCATCGAAACAATTTTGTAACTGTTTTTTCAAATCTTCGTATGATTTAGATATCGATGAATTGTCTACCGTAGTTATATGTGATTGAATGATTTCTTTTGAAGTTTCTATTTCTATTTTAGATTCATTGTATCTACTCTGTCTTGTGGATATATCAAATGGTTCTTTTGTTTCTGGTATTTTCACTGGTAATTGTAACGTATGTTGATGATTGGAGCTTTCTATTACACTTTTCGATTTTTGTACCGATTCATAAAATTTAAGGCTGATGATCATATTGAACGAGCTGAATTTATTAATCCAGTTAATGAATCTA